TCCTATCCAACTCTTCAGATGTGACATACAACCTGGAGGAAGCAGGCTAGTAAACAGGCACCAGAGAGAACGACAGCAGGACAGGAACAATATAAAGGGGAAAAGGGGAAAGGGCTTTCATTAGGAAGAAGTCAAAAGGAGAAAGGGAGGAGAGATAAATAGCTCCAAGAATGTTTAAGAGAATCTTAAAGAAACATTATTTTATAATTAACTAATATTACATATAACACATGTGTCTTCATATCCATCCATCCATCCATCCATCCATCCACCCAAAAGGAAGTTATGGGGCTAGAGAGATGGTTCAGTAGTTAAGAGCACTGTCTGATCTCCCAGAAAATCTGGGTTCAATTCCCAGCACCCACATGACAGCTCATAACTGTCTGTAAGCCCAGTTCCAAGGAACCCGACACCCTCATATAGACATGCATGCAGGCAAAACACAATGCACATAAAATAAACTATATTAAAATGAAGTTATGGCAATCTGGCCGACAATGTTCCCCACAAGAGCCACAGACTGTCTAATAAAAATCTAACACCTGGCATAAGAAACCTCTTTTCAAACTGTTGGTCAGCAAAGTCCAAAAGACTCTCGGAACAATAAGGCTACGGTTGGTGTCTCGGCAACCCCACTTGGAGGTTGGAAGGAAATGGAAATCCCCATAGCTGAAGAACCAAGCACTTTAGACACAAGACTCGGATGATTAGAGCTGGATCTGATCTGAAAGCTTCATCCCTGAGGTAACTACACACACACACACACACACACACACACACACACACACACACACCCTCTTTTCTTCTTGTATTGGTTGGGAATTTTATGAATAAAATTCTTTTACGCCCTTCCTATTGACTATAGCAGGAGTCTAAACGCATGAGCAGGTCAGCACAAGCTATTCCAGCCTGTCCTTCCAGCCAACCCAACATCTACTTAGGCACAACTTCTCCCGGTTCTGGAGACATGTTCTCTCATATTGCGACTTCTGTGGTCCCAGACAGGAACTCTCTCCAGCTCTCTCTGCAGATAATCCCACAGGTCTTAGTGAATGTATGTGGCCTCTGGAAGACCTTCTCTAGCCTCCCAACTACAGATCAAGCACGCTTTCTGTATAATCATATTTATTTTCCCTTATCAAGGCACTGAGCACATGGTTTTATAATGCTTGATGAAATGGGTTTTGAAATAAAAGCTGTCACAATAAGGATTAGGGTTGGTTGCTTGCTCTTTGTAAATAATGTTCCCTGTAAAAACGTCTGTAGTGGGGTGCTCGCCACTAGAAATTGAAAGATGAGTAAGACAATTATCATCCCAAAGAGCCACAGTACAGTGGTGAAGAAGGCACTAAATAATGTGATGTGGATGAGCAGTGGAGGGGCCTGAGCCTGACCCTGTAAAGTACACAGCAGAGGGACCAGACCACTCTCTACAGGTTTGTTAGGTTTCCTGGAGGTGATATTGAAGAAGGTCGCAATCTGAGGTGAGACCCTAATACCATGTGCAAATTTAGGGAGTACTGCATTTTTCTACAGAGGTTCCAAGGTTTTTAATCATTAAAATATTAAAAATTATTCCTGACACACCTTTAATCCCAGCACTTGGGAGGCAGAGGCTGGTATCTCTGAGACTTTGAGGCCATCTGGTCTAAAAAGTGAGTTTTAGGACAGCCAGGGCTGTTACACAGAGAAACTCTGTCTTAACCAACAAACAAAACAAAAGAAAACAAATCAGGCAAGTAAAAGACAAAGGTGGTAGGAACAGGAAGATGGGACAAAGACAGCAAAGGTCATGAACAAAGGTGGGTACTTGATGTTGGCACACACTGGCAACTACATGGCTGGGTGGTGGCAGAAGATAATGTCTATTAAGGAGAAAGTTTAAAAACAATAATAGGGAGGAGAAGCAGGAGACCCATCACCAAAAGCCCAACATGCCATCTGAGGAGCTTTAACTATTCTGGAAAGATGAGGGTCGCTGATGCTGTGGGGTAATGCTTTTGTACCCTGGAAAAAGTTGTCACTCATACTGGTTTAACAAAATGAGAATTGGCCAGTAGCCAGGCAGGAAGTATAGGCAGGGTGACCAGACTAGGAGAATTCTGGGAAAAGGAAAGACTCAGTCTGCAGTCACCACCAAGACACAGAGGAAGCAAGATGAGAATGCCTCACTAAGAAAAGGTACCAAGTCACGTGGCTAAACATAGACAATATACATACATATATGTGAATGATATACATGGAATGGGAAACAAGAGACAGCTATCTGGCTCTAACGTGTTACCCTGTGCTCACTGACAAGGCTCCACCGAAAGGACTTTTAAATTACAAGCACACGAATGAACAGCTACAGCTGGTGTGCTTGCCCAGGCCTGCTGTGTGGCTACACAGGAAGCAAAGCAGGAGGACCCCTTGAGCCCAGAAATTTGAGGTTAGGTCTGGGAAACAGTGAGACCCTGTCTTAAAAACAAAACAGGAATTAGAGGATTTATTATATTCAGGACAACTACAAACTCTGGCAAGGTTATAGAGGGAAAAAGTAACTTCAATCTTTATTGTTTTCTTCAAATAAACGGGGACCTGCATGGCTTATTAAAAAGACCTGAACAATCTTAGAACTGTGCAAAGCAGACCCTTGACCTTGGCTTACAGTGTACTGCTGGCACTTACGAGAGTAGTCTGGAACTGATAAGTTCACACAGCTGAACTGATGACTCCACAGAAGTTAGGTGGCAGTCGCTTTTATGAAACGACTTCAAATTTGGAAAGTAGGATAGATTAAAAAAAGATGATTGGCAGAACAGTTCTCAAGAATTACCCGGAGAAGACACTTTCCTTGAGTATTTATTCATGCCTCTATTCATTAGCTAATATTTATTGGCAATTGATATGTGGCAGGTTCCAGACATAGAACAGGAACTGAGAAAGCAAAACTGCAGCTCTCAAAGGGTTTATAACCACGAAGGAGATAACAAGTCATTACAGGTGGTATGACAGCCCACAGGGAAGTGAGTGAAAAGGACCAAGGTGACAAGAATAGAAACATTGGTCTAACCTGGACTGGGAGAAGTACTTGGACACCCAAGTTGAGATCTGAAGGCTGAACAGCAGTTGGCCAGGAGAAAGAGTGAAAGGGATGAGGGAGAGGATCCCAGAGGAGAAAAGAGACTCTGAAAACTTGGAGGCACAAAGGTGCATCCAGGTTAAGAAACTAAAAGAAGTCCAGGAAGTCTATAAAGTATAAACTGAAATGAGGACATAGCGAGTGAGAGTCAAGGCTAAAGAGCTAACTTCAGTGTCTTAAGGTAAGAGGCTTGTAAGGCATACTGAAGACCTTGTGCTTATATGGAATGGCAAACAAAAATGTCTAAGATAGTAAGTTTTAAGAATTTAATATTAAGTATTACATGTGTGCGCACGTGGATACACACATGAGCATGCTAGTACATGCACAGTGCATTAGTAGAAGCCAGAGGACAACTTAGGGAGTTGGTTCTCTCCTTCCATTGTGAGCACCAAGAATCTAACTCAGGTTGTCAGGCTTGTGTGGAGTGTCTTCACCTGCTTAGCCATCTCACTGGCCTGAGGTGACAGGGTTTGATATGAAGCCTCCGGTTGCATTTCATAAACCTTTCAGTTCATACCAAGCTGGAAAACTGGTGTATGTGTTGCTCTCCAGTTAAGCATGCTTCCCTAGGGAGGAGCTCTCTATTAAACTAAGACTGACTAGGTCTCTACTCTCCAGCAACTGACTCGGATGTGAGGGACTACAGACATATTAAGGAAGATACTACCTTGGATTTCATGCAGCAGAGAAATAAAGAAGAAACGAGAAAGAAAGTGGCCGGAACAAAAGGCCACTTTGGTTATTGATACGGAGCAAATAAAGCCTCCCCGAGGTGATATTTTTATTTTCATTAACACCTCAATGATAATAAAATGTCCCCATAAACATATGGGCTAGGGATACTCAATATAAAGCATTGTTTGATCCATTAAATTTAATATTTCATTTGGATATATTTGTAAAAGTTAAAGGTTACAAATTTAAAAGACTAGAAAGTCATTATGCTCTTGGGTTAACTTTTGAATTATATTCACAATTTCACAGGCAAAAGTGGATGGCAATTTTCTATTTACACTTTTAATTTTGTATTCTTAAGGGGCTGGCAAAGGACACAGGGCTTTGCATACTCTAGTCAAGTGCTATACCACTGAGCTACAAGCTCAATTCTCTGACATTTATATTGTTCCATGGGGGAAAATGTCACTTAAAACTTAAATATTGTTTTTTTTTCTTGACTCGGTACTAAAGCTAAAGCCATTGTGTGTTGTTATGAAGGATAAGAGGGAGGTGTCGAGAGGTTTTAAGAAGAAGGCTGTGTGTCCAGAATTTTCTGTATTCACACATTTTAAAACTATGCTGGCAACAGAAACAACCAAATGTATTTGGATAGTATTAATTTTGAAAAAGGAAAATAGTTATTATGTTAGAATGGTGAAACCGAGTGGCTTTTTCTTGTCTAATATTGTCTTGTGTTGTCATCAAAGTTTTCTAGAGGCAAGGACAAGGCTCCGCAGTCAGCAGTGCAAACCCTAGATGTCTGGAGGGTTTAAACCTAGGAATATTATCTTACTTTAGGTTCCTGAAGGGAACTGTTTCCTTCACTTGTCGTTCGGGTGCGATGAAGAGAAAATCTTTGACTGGAAAGATGAGGGGGCAAGAGCAATAATCGGAAGAACTTCTGCTAGTCACCCATTATTTAGTGAGTGCTTGCATTTGGAGGCGAGTACACAGTTATGCACATAAATGCGTACATGTTGTCAACACTGTGATAAACATTAGCGGGGAAGGGGACCCTCGAGAAGCACGGACGTAGGGAAAGCAAGAGGCTCACTAGATGAAGCTACTGGAGAGCAGGACTTATCAGTGGTTTATATTCGCCCACAGTTTTGTATAATAGTGGGTGTCGACTACAGAAAAGAATGGAGGTGGCCAACCGAGAAGCAACGAGGTTCTGACCGCGATCAGCAGAGTGGACAGCAAGGAGAGGACGAAGCGGAGGTGTCACGGCACAAAGGAAACGTCAGACTCGGAAGTCGTAGAGGTAAACACGTCGGCACCCGGATCCGGCTAAGCCTACACGGGTTAGGCGCAGCACTCAGCTCTGGCCCACACGCCGCCGTGGGCCTCCCGCCCGGAGCCACAGTTCTCCAGGCTCCGCGGTCCACGGCGCAGCCCGATGCCTCGGGACACTGAAGGAACTGCCCCCACCCCACCCGGTGGCACCGGCCCCCGCGCGGACCCCCACGTCAGGGGGTGGGATGCACGCTAGGTGAGTGACAGGGCCACAAGTCAGCCCATACCATCCGGGCTAGGGCACTGGCTGAGCAAATCCGGGTTCTCCGAAGCGCGCGAGGGCCGGCGGCGGCTCACCTGGGAGGTGATCATGATGCTGGAGTCGATCAGGAAGCTCATGGCGAAGCCCCGGGAGGCCCATGCCCAGTTGTCTACCCCTCAGAGAAGCTGCAAGTTAAGACACTCCAGCTGCAGCAGTAAGCGGCCTTCGCCCCCAGCCATCCGGGCTGGACTGTCGCGTGCTTACGCCATCAAGCTGCGCCGCAGCCAGCCAATCAGCGGTCGCATCCCTGTTTGCACAGCAGGTGAGGGTGGGCAGGGCTGGAGGCCGCGCAGCGCTCAGTTCCGCGGGCTGGAAAAGGCAGAGTAGGCTAAGCCCAATGCAAGTTCAGTTCTTGCGAGCCAGAAGGCGCTGAGGCCTGAGAAGTAACGTCTTGTTTTAAGTAGTACCGCCTTTAAAAAAAGGCTAAAAACAGGAAGTTAGCAATTACTGGACTGAGAGTTGCAGAGAGGCACTGAATTGCATCCCCAGCACTGCAAAAAATAAAAATAAGTTGAAGTAACGACTTAGGCTTTAAATCAATACATGTGTTGTAAAGGTGACAGCTTTTACTTGGTTTAAAAACAATGTCACATCTACAGGTGAAGTGACGGTGGACAGGCAGGTAAGGTTTTAATCAGACACTAAGTCAGTGTCTGATAGGACAGCAACTAAAGTACTCCGCCTACAGTGAGAGTGTGTTCATCGGACTCTAAGGAGACCAGCGTGATAGTCCAGCGCTTTTGGTTGTGTAGTACTAGGCATCGTGTGAGACCCACAACTGCGGTGGGGCGGGGAGGGGCACAAATCATTGGAACATAATCAAAACTGATTCTTTGAAAGGACAGGAAGAGGGATTTGACGGCTCAGGAACTTAGAGACTGGGTAGCACTGATATTAACCCCAAGGGATGCTTGTAGGGCAAAGAACTGGAAGTTATATGAAGGCAGATTTTAATTCAAAGTAATAATTATTTAGGAGTCTGCAGGTGGGTTATTGTTAAACACTAGTTTTCTCCTTCACACCAAACTGTGTGACTGTGGCTCAAATACAAAGTGAATTACATCTTTCCCCCATTGTATCCTCATTTCATGAAGGCTTAATGCACTATGGTGGGGCTTATTCTTTTCCCTCTAGAACCCTAGCTAGTCTTTATAGTCACTGTGGTCTCCTAGTCCAGGAAACTGGCTTCAGCTCGGAGCAACCCTGGGTAGGAGTGACTAGTCAAGGCTGCAGGCAAGACCTGGAAGGGGGTGTGCGTGTGTGGGGGGAAGGCTAGTATCTAGACTCTGAGTGCTCGTTACTACAGTATAAATAAATGGGGACACCCCCTCGGGGTGCTGCACATAGAGAGAGATGACTTTCTTTGATCTCAAGTCTGCCCCATCAAGCAGCCTGTCCTAGTTAGGGTTACAATTGATGTGATGAGAAACACCATGACCACAAGCAATGCCCAAAGCTGATGCAGAGGCCATGGAGAGGTACTACTTACAGGCTTACTCAACCTGCTTTCTTATAGCCCAAGTCTGCCAGACCAGCTGGGAGGCGGTGCACACACCCTTAATTCCAGTTCCCCGGGATGCAGAGGCAGGAAGATCTCTGTGAGTTTGAGGTCAGCCTGGTCTACAGAGCGAGTTCCAGGACAGGCTGTTACACAGAGAAGCCCTGTCTCAAACAAAACAAACAAACAAACAAAACAACCCCAAAAGAAACAGCAACAACAAAAAAGGACTACCATCCCAGGCGTGGCACCACCCAACATGGGCCGGGCTCTCCGCCATCATACTCTACTGAAGAAAACACTCTCCAGGCTTGCCTACAGCACAGTCTTCTGGAGCCATTTTCTCAGTTGAGGTTCCTTCTCTCAGACGACTTTAGCTCGTGTCAAGTTGACATAAAACTCTCCAGCACACTGTCCAATCTCTATTCTAGAGTGCCAGGGAAGTGCGGAGGCTGCCTTGCCATGAGAGTGTCTTAAACCAAAGAACTTGGGTTTCCAGTCCCATCTATCAGGGAAGTAGGTGGCTGTCTATAGCACGACACTCAGTTGTCATTGTCATTCAAAGCTGTGGGGTGGTGCAGAATCCTGGGAGAACTTGCTCCTATCATTATCATGCCTAATTAATTTGATCTTTATAATTTGTGAACAAAAAGGAGCACACACAGAGATGAATTTAAGCACACAGAGAGATGGAAATGTAAGTTGAAATTGATAAATAAAAGAAACAATAAGGGACTGTTTTGAACATCGAGCCACCTGTCCTCTGTGCCTGGGTAGGACAGACAGTTCTCCCTACCGTAGCTAGAACTTCCTGCTCCAAGAGTAATGACCTTCCTGAATACGTTAGCAAGACATTCACTCATCTTAGATACGCACCTACTTTTATCGTGGTTTGTGATTTGACACCATAGCATTGGCAAGACAATCAGAAAAGAGTGTAATGCTGGTGGTATTCCAAAGTCTGAGATAATCCTTATTTGTTATCCTAATATATACACTTTTCCATTTCCTACCAAATAGCCCACAGTGAGTGAGTACAGTGGACCTTAAATTGGTCTCCCTTAAATTCTCTTGTCAAAGCCCTAATGTGGTGGTACTCGGAAGCAGACCTTTGTGGGGTAATTAGGTTTGGTTCAGTCATGAGGGGTGACACTCATGATTAGTGCCACTACAATGAGGTACGTGGAGCAGTATGTGCATGTTCCCTCGGCCCCTCTCTCCTCCATTTGCCCCTTCCCATCCTGTGATGTGATGCAGCGAGAAGGCAACTGACTGGAGGCCAAGAGGACTGTCACCAGGAAGTGACAATGTTAGGACCTCAATTACAGGCTTGCAGCCTCCCAGAACTGTGACCCATCAATATGTGATATTTAAGCCACCATCTATGGTATTTTGTCATATTAGCTTGAAATAAGGCAGTTAAAATAATTTGTTGTATAGTTTTCAATTAGAAACATATATGAACATTTTCTCATGCTAAAAGCTTTTCATTTTCATTAACTCAATAACACTCCAACAAATGGTCATGCCATGATTTAGTTAATCTACGTCTGTGGGGAGGGGAAAGTGCTCATATGTATGTGTGCACGTGTGTGCATGTAGAGAGCAGAGGTCAACACTGAGCGCCTTCTCATACCCTCCTCCTCCATTGCTCTCCATCTTATTTTTTGACAGCATCTTTCAGCGAACCTGAAGTTTGCCAGTTTGGCTAGACTCACTGCCCAGCAAGTTGCAGAGATCCTCCTGTCTCCACTGCTCTGGCATCGGGGTTGCAGTTGTGTGACGCCATGATTCACTTTTTCACTAGGATACGGGGGATCTGAACTCCTGTTTGCATGCTCTCATGGCAAGTAGTTTGCTACCGAGTCATCTCCCCGGCCCCTCAGTTACGTCTGATGCTTTTTATATTGTTTGCTATAATGCAATTATGTGATGAAATATTTTTTTATTTTTAATGCATGTGTGTATATGCACATGTGTGGGCATATGTATGTGTGCCATGTGTAAAGCCCTAGAGATAGCCTTGAATGTCACCCTCAGAGACTCCATCCATCTTTTTTGAGAAAATGTCTCTCATTGGCCTGGAGCTTACCAACCAGGCTAGACTGGCAAGCAAGCAAGCCCAGGAGATGCTCCTGTCTCCTCCTCCCCAGCACTGGGATTATAGGTGTGTCTCAGCAAGGCAAGCGCTTTACTGGCTGAGCCTCCTGTCCAGCCTCTTCTGCATGGCAAAGACTATGAACCACAAGTAATATTTATCTAAACTTTCAACTTTCTCTAGGCAAGGGACTTTCACTGTATGTGGCCCAAACTCCCGGGACACACCCTGAGCTCCTTTAGCTAGCTCCTGCGGCATCTGGAGTCGAGGCTGTGAACTTCTACAGCAGAGTAGTGGGTGCTGATGAGCTGTGGGTGAGAAGCCTGCCACCCAGCCTAGCAATTGCTTCTGTAGTTTTGTCTTCTACCAATTGCCTAAGACCAGGGGGCGGGATCAAGTCTCTCAGAGCCACTGCATCTCTGTTCATACTTCTGATGACTTCCTAATTTGATGCCCGAGTTTTTTCCAGCATAAATGATCCATACTATGTCTTTGTGGCTATTATATTTTCCATCAATGAGAATTAACATTTGTTTTTGTTTTGATGGTTAAGGTCTCTTTACTTTGTGACTTTTGTTTATTTTTTGTGCAGACTCTGTGTGTCTTGATTTTTTTTTAACTTCTAGAAGTTTAGAAGGCAGAGATTGCTTTAGTGTAAGAGGTGGAACCCTGTGTTTTCCATACACTCACAGAATCAAGCAATCAGGCACTTCTGCCTTCTCATGTTTGTCCTTCTCCCTCCCACCCTCCATTCACAGCCCTTCAGTTTATGTTCATGTGATCTAGGACTCCAAACCTTAAAGAAGTATATTAAGAATTATTGATATATAAGTTGTAGCTTGTAGCTATACTCACAATTACATTTAATTCACCATATGCTTAAATGTATTTAGTAATTATCATTTACTTCTTGTCCACTTTGGCTCTGTGGCTGTTTTAACATTTCTTCTATCTTTGACCTGAATGAATCATGAAATAGTTTATTCTTTGAAGATATTTTGCAGTTATTTTGTGTTCTGTACAGTTTAGAGCGTATTTTGTTACTTTAAAATTCATTTGTTCATTCACTTTGTATGTGCACATATGTGTACTAGTGTAGTGGTGTGCCGGTGGAGGTCAGAGGACGGCCTGTGGGAGTCAGTTGTCTCCTCCCACCATGTGGGGCTGGGGATCGAACTTAGGTTGTCAGACTTGGTGGCAGATGCCTTTACCCGCTGAGCCATCTTGCTGGCCAGAGAGTACCTTTAAGTTGCACTGACTCCTGGAGAAATTTGATCTGTTCAGAGTTCATGGGCTCTATTTTCATTCTCAGTGTCCTATAGACATCCCATTATTTCTTTTTTTTTAAAATATTTATTGATTTATTATGTATACAATATTCTGTCTGCGTGTCTGCCTGAAGGCCAGAAGAGGGCACCATACCTCATTACAGATGGTTGTGAGCCACCATGTGGTTGCTGGGAATTGAACTCAGGACCTTTGGAAGAGTAGGCAGTACTCTTAACCGCTGAGCCATCTCTCCAGCCCCGACATCCCATTATTTCTTGAAATTTAATATGATCATGAAGAAGTATGATGACAGCAAATGTTTCCCCCTTTTCTGGTAACCTAATCTTTTTCTTTCTAGTTTATTCTCCCCCTGGCATTTGGAGCAGTCTGAGGGGAATCACCAATAGAATATGGTGGAAGATATATGACTTCCAAGGTTAGGTCACTAAAGATGTCAAACATTTCTCCTTGATCTTTTGGGACCTTTGCTCCAGGGTAACCAGACACCAGGTCATTACGACACTCAAGCAGCCTTGTGGAGAGGCCTGAGTGGACGGGGACCAATTTGGTAGCATCAACTTTCTTCCCAGGTAGCCACCTGAGTGAGTGGATTCCACCATGGTAGTCAAGTCTTTGAGAACAGCATGCCCCACTGATACTGAATTGTAGCCTCAAGGGACATCTCCAGGCTCCTCCAGGCCCGACCTACAGAAAGGCTCAGAGATAATATGTTCTTCTTGTTTGAAGTCACTATGTTTTGGAGCGATTATTACACAGTAATTATATAACTAATATATGTCCCCACAAGTAACATTTTTACTGTATATCTGTGTGGAGTTATCCGGGGGTCTATTATGTAGCCTTGATTTTTGTTTCTTTGCTACTAACTAAGCAAGCATATGGATTTTGAATTTTTGTTACAGACCTACTAAACCTCAATGAATCAGTTTCTGTAAACAGATCATGATAGCTACTGTAATGTAAATCTTGATATCTCAGTGGATTTATACAAGAAAGGTTTAGCTTTTTAATGCAGACAATGTCCAGAAGTTCAGATAATGAGGATTGGAGGTATGGAGCACCCTCTGCTCTCTGGTCATCCAAAGATGACATCTTCCTAAGGTGGCGTCCAGAATTACCTCCATTCGCATCCCCAAGTTTATGTTCATATAATCTAGGAGTTAAAATTCAAAATATACTAAGAATTATTAATATATAAGTTGGAGCTTATAACTATACTCACAGCAATTACATTTAATTTACCATATGCTTAAATGTATTTAGTAATTATCAAAAATTCAGCAAAGGACTTGCTCCACAGCTCCAGGATACTCCTAGGTGAAATGAGGGAGGATATGATCCAGCCAGAGCAGAAAGACTCTCCCAGTCAGCTGAGATTCTGGCGCCCACGTGGCCAACTAAAATCCACTTAAAACCTGAGAAGGCTTGTTACAGTTTCTATACGATTGTTTCAGTTCTGGGCAACCGGGATGAACACGCGGCCTCCCTGCAACAAGTGTGCTTCCTCTCCTACTCTAGCATCCCCCAGGGAAAACCAAAAGGTGCTCCTCGTTAGCCCATGCAGAGAAGCAAAAGGAGAACACGTGTGAAAGCATCCCCAGCATGATGTCCTCATGTGGTTGCCAAGGTTTCTCTGATGACGTCCAGGAATGTATTTGCAAACCTCCTTTTCTTTATTTATGACAATGGAAACCTGTTTGCTTTCAAGTCTGGAAACCTGGGACCATTAGGTGTAGCACAGTTAATAAAAACCCAGAGGCAGAAATTGGGGTTCAACCTGAAGGTCAGAAAAACAAAACAGCCAGCCACTGGCTCTTACCTCTACCTCAATCTGAAATAGGGATCCTGCCTCCAATCTCAGAATGAAACTGTGACTGAGAACTGTCTTCTCCCATCTTATATTCCTCCCTAGGGCTGGGATTAAAGGCATACACCACTACCACCCAGTTTCTATAACAAACTAGTGTAGCTACTGGGATTAAAGGTGTGTGTCACCACTACCTGGTCTGTAAGGCTGACCAGTGGGACTATTTTACTCTCTGATCTTCAGGCAAGCTTTATTTGTTAAAATACAAATGAAACATCACTACAGTTAGTGAACCACTTTCTCAGACATAGCCTTAGTCAGAGCATTGCTGCTGTGAAGGGCTTAGCCAGTTGTCTCATTCCTGCCCTGAGTGGTCTCAGTAATTCATTTATTTATTCATCAAATGTATCTATGTTCCAAGTACTCAGTATGCAGTGATAAGTAGGATAAAAGCTCTGTCGTAGTGAATTAAAACATTAAAAAATTACATATAATTTTTAGTGTTCTCTGTGTGTGTGCATACATATATAGGTGCACACACACCATTGCTTGTTTGTAGAAGTCAGAAGACAACTTGTTCTTCTGCCATGTCAGTCCTGGCGATTAAAATCAGGTCCCTATGCTTGGTGGCAAGTGCCTTGGTGCGGGAGAATTATCTGTATTCTGTCAATCGTATATTTTAATAAAACGCTGATTGGCCAGGCAGGAAGTATAGCTGGGTCAACCAGACAGGAAGTAGAGGCGGGGTGATGAGAACAGGAATATTCTGGGAAGCAGGAAGCTCCCTCCGCCACTCCTGCGCAGACCACCGAAGAGACAGGATGTAACCTGCCCAGCTGAGAAAGGTACTGAGCCATGTGCTAACGTAGATAAGGATAATGGGGTAACAAAAGTTATAAAAGCTAACAAGTAGCCTGACCTAATGGGCCAATCAGTTTAGAATCTTATGGAGTGCTGTGTGTAATTTTCTTTGGGGCTTGTGGGCTGTGGGGTACTGGGCGGGAACAGATACCCCAACAAGCCAGCCCTTCATGCTACAGTGCCTTTATCTCCTGAGCCGTCTCTCCAGCCCCAGTAGAACAATCTGGTAAGTGAGGACAGCAATAGAAGGGCTCATGGGCATCAAGGGTTTGCAAGGGAAGTAGCAACAAACTTTTTCTTAGAGTCTGTGAGATTTAGTAAACAAAGAGACATGGGTCTGAAACAATATAGCCCTTATTGGTTTCTGTATGCCAGAACTATCTTTACTGGATACTAGATCTTGGTTCCAATAGACTAAGGCAAACACATGAAGAGAGAGGTGGGGGTTAAGGCTTCAAGGTGGTTCAACCATGTGGGATTAGTGACTTGGGCTACGTTAAGTCTAAAAAGGCCGTGGGAGGGGGAAGAAACTCTGAGCAGCTTAGCACGTTGAAGGAAGGCTAAAAACCATAGTCTGAAGAACCAGGTATTTCCTGGAAATCTGGTTGGTCTAGAGCTTGTGCCATTATAAATGAATTCCAACTAATTTTCAGTTTCTGTTATCCCACAAGAGACATTCTAGGGACTGTGTCTGATAGACCTAGTCAATCCCCAAAGCTGATCTCCACCCAGGAAATCAACTAAGAAGCCATCTAGAGAGGCTGGAGAGATAGCGCAACACTTAACAGCACTGGCTGCTCTTCCAGAGAACCTGAGTTCGATTCTCAGCACCCATATGGCAGCTCACATCCCAGGGCATCTGATGCCCCCGTCTGTCCTCCTCAGGCACTGTATACACATAGTTCACAGACATCCCTGCAGCAAAACACCCATACACATACAATAAAGGGATGGGGGAATCTACCAAGTCTGTATCCAACTGCAGAAGGGTGTTTCCTGTAGATAAATTAGGCTGATATAAAAGAAGAGAATATCAACAGGTTAAAAAGAGAGTTATTCTCTAAGTGGGTGGGCACAAGCTACAAATGACTTTGCCAATTATAGGGAATGAAGAATTATTAGAGAGTTTTGACAAGAGAGGAGACATGATCAATCCCAAGCAGAAGCTTCTGACTAACTTAACCTGGTTATCAGTCTGTTTTCATATTCAATGAATCATTTTATTTCTTCTTCAAATGCTCAAGGGAAAGAAAGAGAACACATGCTCTCCTTTTGCTTCTCTCCATGGGCTAACCAGGGGTGCCTTTTGTTCTTCTCTGAGGGATGCTGGAGGAGGAGAGGAAGCACACTGAGCAAATCTCAGCTGACTGGGAGAGTCCTTTTTTTTTCCCCCTCTCTGGGAGAGCCTTTCTGCTCTGTCTGGATCATATCTGCCCTCATTTCACCTAGGAGAATCCTGGCGCCGTGGAGCAAGTTGTTTGCTGAATTTTCAGGAACTTTGTAAGCCAGCATTTTGGTTCATTCAGTATTAACAGCTAGATTGTATAAACCTAAAATGGAACAAAGATAACATCTACTCAAAGCCTCCAATCATTTTTATTCCATGAGTCAGCTTCACATCACGTCAACAAAATGCTGGACACGGCTATGAGTAAGAGAAAGTAGTGCTATTTAGCTCACAGTTTGGGAGGTTCAATGGCACAGCACGTGCATCAGCTCAAATCTGTGGTGGAAGACAGATGGTAAAAGCGTATGTTGTGTGAGCAGCCATATTTCAAGCCAGAAAGCAGAGATATCTGGAAGGGGCCAGGATTGCTCCTTTTGTAACCACTCTTTTTTGAAGAGCTATCAGGAGGTCACATTAGAACTATAAAGGTGTCAGGTGGGAACTACTGTGGGGTCATGTGAGAAGGACATCA